GCTGTAGTCCAGCCCCCCTCTGCCACCTGCTCCCCAGGGGACTGACCTGCAGTTTGCCCTCAGGATGTGAGGGGTGGGTTCCAAGCAGCGCGGGCTGCTGAGCGGAGCCTCTGTGACCAGCTGGACCACACGCAGGCCGGCCACGGAAGTGGCTGTGTTGGACAAAAGGAGGGCATCTCAGCCGCCGCAGTAGGAGGGAGTCGGTGGAGGGGACTGGAAAGGCCCTTGGACACTGACCCCTGGGGCTCAAATCCAGCTCTGCCACGTATCAGCTGAGTAACCTGCCATCTCTGAAGAAACCACACACCAGAAGCTGCCTGACCGTGAGCAAGAAATCAGACGACCCGTGAGCATAACTGGCACTGGCAGACGCATTGATGGGCCTGTGTATTTAATTAGGTGCGTGAACCACTCATTTCGAGGGGTGAATCTCTGGGCAACACCACACCAGCAGTGTGTTCCAGAAAAGCAAGAAGGTGATGGAAGTTCAGACTGACGGGGCGGGGGCAGCCACCTTTCTGTTGCAGAGCCCAGTCTGTCCTTTGGCACGAAGGAGCTTCCACATCCAAGTTCTAACCTGGGAGCGACCCTCGGAGCCTCACCTGGGCTTTTTGAGGAAGGCCATGTGTGTGAGCAGCTGGCCCCACGGTGGGCACTTCATACCTGGTGGTTCCCTTGCCTCCTCCCGGCTGGCGTGGGACGGGCAGCATCGGGGAGCGGGCACTCAGGTGATTGCTGGGGCGCGTGCTGCATCTTGGCATCCGACCAGGCTTCGTGGGCTCGGGCACGTCCCGGGACCTTCTCTGGCCTCGTGCTTCTCCATCTGTAAAATGGGGAGTGTCAGCGCGCCCCACAGGGCTGCTGTGAAGAGGCAGCGTGATTCCGTCATGAGGAGCCTGGCCCAACACTGGTGCACCCCAAGTGCCCGATCCGTGCCGGCTGCCCTGGTGATTAGAAATCGAGAATTCTGAGTTAACGAGATGACTCTTAACATGTCTTTGAAGTTTGACTGCATCTCAAACTGGGGACGTCGTGGGAGGAAAGCCTCTCAAGGGTCGGCTGTTCATACCAGCTCCAAATGAACGTGGTTGTTTGTCACCTGTGTGGGTGGTGACGTAGCATTTCTCAGACTGTAAGTCACCTAGAGAGCTTGTTAAAATGCACGTACTGCCTCAGTGGGCTGGGGATGCGGCCTGAGATTCTGCACCCGGTCAGGCTCCCAGGTGTTCTCTGCGCGCTGGTCTGAGGACCACACTTGCAGTAGTGAGCAGAAGTCAGAATCAGCCTGACGACTTGCTGTTGGGGGGGGTGTCTGGTGGGGTGGGGGACACGCAGACTCTTTTATATGGTAATTGCACAGAGAAAAGAAGCATCTTATTGTCTGGTCCGGAGGACCAGGGCAGAGCGTGGGGGATGTTGGACGTGTCTGGGATGTCTCTTCATGACTTAGAATAATGAGAAAAAGCAGATGGCATCTTTTCAGTGGCTTGTCTCGGACCCTGGGCCATTGTGCTCTCTCTCTCTCTTGGGATCAGCCTGGCGAATAGCCAGCTGAACTAACTTCAGAAAAGACAAGCTCATCAGCTGGCCTGCAGCCTCAGACTTGCTGGCCGGCGGCCTAGGTAAAGAGCCGCGCCAGGCAGCGGCGGAAGAAGCCACAGTGTTCTGTAAACACGGAGATACAAGCTCATCCTCCGCTGTGCCACCCCTGCGAGCTCTGTGCACACGCGCCCGTACATTCGGCCCCCACCGCCCCCGCAGCCCCATCTCTTGCTTCATTTTCCTTTACACAGGCTTTGGGAAAAGCTCCCTTATCTGCCCAGCTGATGAGCCATTGTTAGAGCCACTGAGTATCCTGGGCTCAGAAGGTGAAAAGAACTCTCAGCTGGCCCTTCTCCGCATTAGAGTCCGTGCAGATCTTGTCCCTCAGTCTCCGCTCTGGGCTGAGAGAAGCAGGGCCCGAGATCCAGCCTCTCCTGGGTCCCTTCTCGCTCGGGTGACCTGTGACTCTGGTCTGAAATGTCTAGGCCGGCAGCGGCGTTTTGGGAGGTGCAAAGGAGGGACACACAGCCAGCTGTTGTGCGAGATTAACTGCCCTCTGTTTAACTTTCGTCATGCCTACAGGATGAATTGCCAGTGGCATTTAGTCACTGTGCCGATGCAAATTTGGAGTTGGTAGGAATGTTTGGGCCCAGCCTCGTCCCACCTGGGTGTTTGAGTGGAGGCGGCGTCCTGGGCTGCCCAGGTCTGACAGGCCGACACGTGGAAAGACGTGGGTGTTTCAGCTGGTTGAATCTGTCCAGTTGCTAATTCTTCTCACCTGTGAAAACATAGCAGGCCTTAGGGAGAGCCGCCCTTGGCTTGCCCTGGTGGCTCTAAAGCTCAGCCCCAGAAGCAGGGATGGGGGTCGGGGGAATTGATCCCTGAACCCGCTGTCTTCTCACTGGAGTTTCACGTGGTGCGTTGTGTTGCATTTGAGTTAGAGCAGCCAAGGGCCGGCCAGACTGCCCTTGTGTGGGAAACGGAGGCGGCGTGGTCTGTTGGGGAAAGTGCTTGGGATGATTTCTGAAGGCTGTAGGTTCCAGCCAGCTTCAGCTTAGAGGCTGCAGCTGCGGCCCACCGTGGTGAGGCTGCAGAGCCATCCCCAAGGTGCTACTGAGGGGCTGAGGGGCTGAGGGGCGGCTTGGGTGCCCTCGTTGTTGGGGGCCCAGCTCCTCCACATCCCAGTGGGGAGTGACTTCATTCCATGCAGAATCAAATACAGAATCTACAAGACTGATTGCTCGGGAAACTCCAGGAAGGGGTGGGTCTCCCTGGCTCCTTGTATCCTCAGGGATCCTTCACCTTCTGGTGTTGAGGGGCCAGGGCCCTGGCAATTAAGACGGGACCCACGTGCCTCCCCGTGAACCTGGTAACATGCATCTGAGTCTTAGTAGCAGAGGTGTCCTTTGTGACATCCATCAGCCTCTTTGGAAGGCCTGTCTGAGGGTCTTTGCCTTCTTTTACTCCTCCAGAATGTTGGGGGAGCAGCGTCATTCCAAGGCCAGGGTAGGGGTAAAGGGTGAGTGTCCAGCATCTCAAGGCAAAGGTGGCTCTCAGGACAACCTGAGGGGAGCCTGGGTCCACTTTCCGTATCCCCGGGGGGCCTGTCTGGGGTCATTCTGACCTCTTCTAGGTACCTTTCCCACACATACCTAATGGATAATGCTTTCTTTCCCCAGGTAAGTGGGGATGATCCATTTCATAAGGTCCCTAATACCTTTTGAGGGGAATTGCACCCCCTTTCCGGGCCGTGAGAAGTTTGGAACAGCTCACATTCTCACCGAGCAGCAGCTTAGAATTTTCTACGCGTTGAACATCGTCAGTGTGGGTTTTGTTTAAAGTCTCATCATGTGAGCTCTTTTCCAAGTGGCTCGCAGCTCAGACACAAACCGTGCCTGGCTGGTGCTGTTTAGTATTCTTTGCTGGAGCTCTTTACTCTACTGCTTTCCGGAAACAGTGCCTGTCGCCGTAGGTCAGAGTCGTTTTTGTAACATCTGGAGCGGAAGTCTCTGCCGGTGCCCCCATGCTCTGTCCCCAAATGTGTCTTTTCTTTCTTCTTGGCGTGACTTGTCTGTTCCTCCAGTAGGGAAGGGACCTGCGGGGGGCGGCCCCTCCCCGGGGCAGATTTCCCGTTCGAGATGAAGGAGGGAGAGCTTCGATCCTTGCCCAGTTTGTACCTGAACGATTCCATCTCTGGTTTGCATCGTGCTGGAGGACGCGTTGATAATTCTCTGCCACTGCGGCATCTTTCCCAGGTCCCCTTAAATGTGCATCTTATGTGTGGTGGGGAGGGAGAGAGGATCCCAGAAGAGAAGCACCGTCTCCACATTTCTCATTCATTCTCTTCATTATTTGTTAAGCCTGATACACCCAGGGGAGTGCCTGTATCATATGAACCATAACCTGATGAACTATCCCAAATTTGTGTGGACACTGCTTGGGCTGAAATGAACATGATAAGTACACAGGAAGCTCTGTCTCCCTAACTACAACCCCACTGCCCCTTCCCCAAGGTAACCTGTATCCTGACCTCTAACCCCGCAGTTACGCTTTGGCTGCCTTGACCTTCAGATCAACAGAATCAGAGAGTGAGTATGCTGTTGTCCCTGACGTCTTTTGCTCAGTGTTTCATGAATGAGATTCGTCCATGTGGTTCTGGCTGAGTGACATTCACTGGTTTTCACTGCTGTATAGAATTCCATCGTATTTCTATTCCAGAATGTACTTACCCATTGTCGCATTGGTGGACCTTTGGTGTTCTTCGTTTTGGGCCATTGCGTATTCAGTCATGAACATTTTTGTACGTGTCGCCTGGGAGGTGTGTATACGCATTTCTGTTGAGTATGTTCCTAGAAATGGAGTGACTGGATCATGGGGTGGACACACGTTCAGTTTTGTTAGAAACTGTTGAATCAGTCACCGAGGTGGTGGTCACGGTTTACACTCCCACCAGCCGAATGGTGGGGGTTAGCCTTGCTCCGTGTCCTTGGCAGCACTTGGCATTTTCTGTCTTTTTGGTTTTAGCCTTCTGGTGGGTGAGAAGTGGCGTGTCATTTGTGTTTCTCTCATAACTTATACAGTCGAGCACCTTTTCTTATGTTTACTGGCCATTTGGTTATGGTCTTTCATCGAGTGTCTGTTGAAGCCTTTGGCCCATTATGGTGTCGGTGACCTGTATTTTCCTTATTGATTTGTAGGCGTTCCCGATAGATTTTGGATAAGCACTGTTGGTGGGTTGTATGTGTTTCCAACAAACACGAGCTTTAAGTCTGTCTGGAGAGAATCTGACAGGTTCGCTGTCGGAGCCCCTCCCCTGGCCCCTCAGTGTGATGTAATGCTGGAGTGGGTTTCCCAGGGGGCCTCAGGCAGCCTGCCCGTGGCGGGGTGAGAAGCGAACCATCAGCCTCCCCTTTCCTGGTGCTGGGTTGTGACAAATGCCCTTTCTTCTTGCCGTGCAGGGTCCTTGTGGGCGCACCAAAGGCAGATTCCAAGTACAGCACGTCCGTGAAGTCCCCCGGGGCTGTGTTTAAGTGCCGCATCCACACCAACCCTGACCGGAGATGCACCGAACTGGACATGGCTCGAGGTGGGTGGACGTCCCTGCCAAAGTACACCTGGACTCTGGACCCTCATGCTTTCCTCTTTCTCCTCAGGGTGGCCTGGCCCCCGCCTCCTCCCCTCCCCTCCCTCCTTCCCTCCCTCCCTCCTTCCCTCCCTCCCTCCCTCCCTCCCTCCTACTCAACCATCATGCAGTAAGTAGCTATTGCTTACTAAGCACCAGAATATACCGGTGAATAAAACAAAGATCTTGCCATCCTCACAAAATAGTGGGCAAAAGACACATTAAAAAACAACTGATCAAGAGCATGAAGACCAGGAGGAAGGTGGGTATTCGATCTACACATATTGGAAAGATGCATAGTGGTTAGCCGGCAGGCAGGGAGGCAGAACCTCCAAGCAGAGGAGCGCATGTGCCATGGTCAAGTACAGAGCGAGGGCGGAGTGGCTGGAGTGGTGAGCAGGACAGAGTGGAGGCAGAGGACTTGGCAAGGTCGGCTGGGGCGTGCCGATCACACAGGGCCCAGCAGGCCGGGGAAAGGTGTGAGGATTTTACTCTGTGTGTGAAGGGGAGGCCATTCAATCAATTTTATATGTTCAGTAGGGAAAGATTTGATCCAAGGATGCATTAAAAAGTTCACTTGGATTCCGTGGAAAATATGTTATCTTTGGAATCAGACAGTCTGCCTGGGTTCAGAGCCCAGCTCTGCCTGCTCCTAGTGGGACTTGTTGGGAATGTCCCATGGCCTCTTTGGCCTCGGTCTCCTCCTTTAACAGCAGGACAAAACACCTATCTCATAGCAGTCCCTTGAGAAGGTTAAGTGGGATAAATAGAGGTGAATATACAGAACTGTGCTGGGCACAGAGTAGGTACTCAGTAAGTCGGAGTTCCTTTTTCACCATCACTTCAGCTCCTCACTTTCTCCAAAGTTCCATCAAGTGCATCTAATTATTATTGTTTTTAGATGAACTGCTGTGATTTTTCTTAGAAAAGGAGAGGCACCCATGGTGTTCTCAAGTGTTCCTCCTAATGACTGGCGGGTGACCCGTTTATTGCCTATGCATAACAAATTAGGGAGCTTGCTTCAGAACATAGACTGATGCGTGGCTGCCTTCGAGAAAGTCTTGCTGGGGGAAAAATATCAGCTGAATCAAACAGCATACATAGCGATAGAGTTGACTGCACGCTTCATTTTCTCCGGAGCTAGTTCTGAACACTTGGGCTGTAGACCACCCTTTGAAAAGCAGCCAGAAGAACATTGTTCCTTAACCCATGACTCCCCCCCCCACCTCTCTTTTCCCTCCAGGGAAGACTCGGGGGATGTCCTGTGGAAAAACCTGCCGGGAAGACCGGGATGATGAGTGGATGGGGGTGAGCCTGGCCCGGCAGCCCAAGGCCGACGGTCGGGTGCTGGTAAGGCCTCCTGGGGGTGCTGCGGGGAGGGGGTGGCACCCTGAGAACGAGTGACTTTGATCTCTTAGGAAAGCTGGATGGCATAGGGAAAGGACATGGCTTTGAGGTTGCCTGTTCTGGACTACTGTTTGGACAAATGACTAACCTTTTTATTTTCTTCATCGGTCAGACATCAATAGTGTCTGTCCCAGGGTGCAGAGATATGGCTATTGAAACACGATCCACCAAATGTATGGGGGGAAGTACTTTGTAAATCTTGTTTATTACATAAATATGCGTGCTTTATGTTGAAGTACAATTTCTATAAAATGCACAGATCTTCAGATTACGGTTTGCATTTTGACAATCGTGTGTGCCTATGTAACACCCCCGCCCCCCGCCCCCCCAGGACACAGCCCGCTCCCCTCATCCCAACAAGCCCTCTTATGTTCCTTTCTAGTCAATTCCTTTCACCCTGAGGCAACTGCTGCTGGGAACTGTGGTTCCCTGGGTTACTTTTGCTTTTTCTAGAACTTTACATAAATGGAATCCCACAGTATGTAAGGCTCCTTTCACTCAAAATAATACTTTTGAGATTAACCCATGTTGTGTGTTTCAGTAGTTCATTCCTCTTTGTTCCTGTATGATACTATGTTTTATGAAACGCATGTCATTTTTGAACAGTCATTTATGTGGCTCCCAAAACACATAGAATGTCTTCTGGTCCATTAGGTATTTTGAGGTGCATGGCGGGGGGTCTTTGGCCCTGAGACTTGTGATATCCCAGAGCTGTGCCGTCCAATACAGTAGCCCCCGCCCCCATGTCGTTATTTTTTTTTTAATTTATTTTTTTTATTGATTATGCCATTACAGTTGTTCTGTTCCCCCCCTTCATTCCCCTCTACCCTACCCCCCATCCCCACCATTACCCCCCCTTTAGTTTATGACCATATGTCTCAAGTTCTTTAGATTCTATATTTCCCATACTATTCTTGCCCCCCCATCAATTTTCTGTCTACTTTCTATGCTACTCATTTTCTGTACCTTCTCTCCCCTTCTCCTCCTCCCACTCCCCTGTTGCTAACCCTCCTTGAGATCTTCATTTCTATGTTTCTGCTCCTGATCTAGCTGTCCTTTTAGTTTGCTTTTGTTTTAGGTGTGGTTGTTAATAACTGTGAGTTTGCTGTCCTTTCACTGTTCATGTTTTTTTAACTTCTTTTTCGGGGGGGGGTGGGATGGGAGAAATAGATAAAAAAATGTACTTGAAAAGTAACTAAATAAAATTTATTATAAAAAATAAATAAATAAACATCCTCCCCCCAAAAAACTTCTTTTTCTTAGATAAGTCCCTTTAACATTTCATATAGTAAGGGCTTGGTGATGATGAACTCCTTGAATTTGATCTTATCTGAGAAGCACTTTATCTGTCCTTCCATTCTAAATGAAAGTTTTGCTGGATAGAGCAATCTTGGTTGTAGGATTTTGGATTTCATGACTTGGAATATGTCTTTCCAGCCCCTTCTTGCCTGTAAGGTCTCTTTTGAGAAATCCGCTGACAGTCTGATAGGAACTCCTTTGTAGGTGACTGTCTCCTTAGCTCTTGCTGCTTCTAGGGTTCTCTCTTTCATTGTAATCTTGGCTAATGTAATGATGATGTGCCTTGGTGTGTTCCTTCTTGGGTCCAACTTCTTTAGGACTCTCTGAGCTTCCTGGATTTCCTGGAGGTCTATTTCCTTTGTCAGATTGGGGAAATTCTCCTTTATTATTTATTCAAATAAGTTTTCCACTAGTGGCTGTTTCTTTCCCCCTTCTGGTACCCCTATAATTTGGATGTTGAAGCGTTTAAAGATGTCCTGGAGGATCCTAAGACTCTCCTCATTTTTTTGAATTCTTGCTTCTTGACTCTTTTCTGTTTGGCCATTATTTGGTTTCTTCTGGTCCACTCCATTGATTTGAGTCCCAGTTTCCTTTTCATCGCTATTGGTGCAATTCCATTCATTTTAATTAGTTTTGCCTTCATATGTTCGTCTAATTTGTGGCTATAATCAACCAGTTCTGTGAGGATCCTGATCACCAGTGTTTTAAACTGTGTGTCTGAGAGTTTTGCTATTTCTTCATTGCTTAGATTTATAGGCTGTGGGGCTTTGAGATCTTCTTGAGCCATTTTTGGTCTGTTCTCACCCGTTGAGTCTGAGGAGCGGAGGCTTGGACTCCCAGGTCGCTGGGTTGTGACGCTATATGTGGGGGCATGGTCAGAGCGGGGAAATGGCAACCCCCTCTGCTGTTTCTCGCCACTGGGTGAGGAGCAGAGGCTTAGGTGGTTCACCAGGGCGGGGCCACTCAGGTCGCTGGGTTATGACGCTGTATGTGGAGGCGGGGTCAGAGCGGGGAAATGGCGGCACCCTCTGCTGCCGCTGGCCGTGGGGCCTGCTCAGTCCCGTAGTCTCACCGCCCACTCCCTCGCTTGTCTATCTGCGCAGGAAAGCGAGACCACAGTCAACCCGCAGCCCTGCTCCCTCGCTGTTTCCCAGCGGTATCTCGCTGAGTCGCTTACTAGGTCCAACCCTGCGCCTGGGTTCCATGCGCCCGAGTCCGTCTGACCGAGTTTTTCTGTGCAACCCCGCTCCGAAAGCTGCTGGTTTCGCCCCTCTTACCGGTCAGGCTGAAGAATTTGTTGCTATCAGACTTCCGAAAAGTTCAATTTTCTGTGTTCTGGCTGTGTTTTCTGTTGCTAATATTTAGTTGTCTCTAAACTTGGTTGTGTGAGGAAGCACAGTGTCTCTACCTATGCCTCCATCTTGGCGGAAGTGCCCCATGTCATTATTCAAGTTCAAGTCGATCTGAATTAAAAACTCAGTTCTTTAGGCACCCTAGCCATGTTGCGGGTGGTCAGTGCCTGCCTGTGGCTGCTGGCTGCTGGCTGCTGTGCTGCATGACACACAGAATATTTTCAGTGCTGCACAAAGCTTTATTGAAACCCACAACAACATCAAAAAAGGAATTTCTAACAGTCTCACTGGTTTCTTCCATTTTCCCCCTTTATCTTATACTTTTCCATTGCAGCATAACATCAAAGTACTCAAGTCGCGCAACGTCGAGTGAACAGCTTGGTGGATTTCTGCATATCCATATATGCGTGTATGCGTGTATCCCCGCTGCTAACACTGCAGAATGTTCCTTTGTGCCCTCCCCATTGAAGTAAACAGTAGGGCTTTTCCCACTGTTGGCTTTTCTTGGGTGATGATTTTTGTTGTGAAAGCATAAGATCAAGACGGGCATGTAGTACTAGTCACCATTTATTGAGGGCTGCCTTTGGGCTACGTGCCGTAAAGCTGCAGGTTTGCATGCATTTTACCCCAGGGGACAGAGGTTCTTCTCAAGGACGTAGGAATCATGTCTCTGTCCCCTCCTGGGGGGCCCATTTTTGTGTTAACCTTCTCCATGGGAGGCTGGTCATCAGAATTCCGCCTGCCTTCTCAGCACAAGTGACTCATCTCCCGCCGACAGTCCCTCTCGGGAGGGGCGCAGCAGCTGGAGGCTGTCACCCATGCCGTGAGACCTCCCCGCTGGAAAGCGCTGTGGGTTCTGCCAAGGGCCCCCAGCCCCGCTGTTTGTCTTGGTTTTGTGTTCTTTAATCACTGTCTCGAGCTGCCCTGGACCCTCCCTCTCCCAGCCTCTCCATTCCTCCAGCTGTAGTGGCCTGACCCTGGTTGGACAACTTGGTCTCAGAAGGCCAGAAAGCTTATCACCTTCCTCTGGAAAGGAGGGAAGAATCTGATCCATCAAATGTCAGGGTGGCCGGAGGTTGAGGTTCCGGACAGAGGAGGCAGTGGCCTGATGGCGCACAACACACGACATGCCACAGAGCCTGGTGCCCACAGCCACAGGTTGCTTCTGTGAAAACACTTTCTGTCCCCATGGAGGGATGAGCTCCCTGGGGCTAAGCGCTTGCTTCCAGAGGGGTCTGTGTTACTGCACAGGAAGGGGCCATCTCTAGGGCCATGAACCTCAGTGAGGATCACAGGGACGATTCGGCAAAGGAGGTGGTGAAGGCCGAGCTGGGCATCTGTGCTCACTTGTGCTGTGAGAATCTTGTTCTAATTCATTGCATGCAGAGCTGCTTTGCCCATGTTTTGCACAGTGACTGCAGCACCCATTCCATAAGCCCCTGTAGGCTGGGGCTGGAGAAAGGGGGGCCCCAATAGCAGCTGTTTCCCTTGTGACTTTTTTTGGGGGGGGTCAAAAACAAAACATAAAACATACCCTCTTATCCATGTGCAAGTGTACGGTATGTTAGTGTTACCTGCACACACATCGCTGTACGGGAGACCTCTAGCACTCTTTCACCTTCTATAACTGAAACTATCAAATAACTCCCCCTTTCCTTCCCCCTCTCCTAGGCCCTGGTGACCGCCAGTCTTCTTGCTGTTTGTAAGAGTTTGACTATTTTAGAAAACTCATATGAATGGGATCATGCAGTATTTATCTCTTTGTGACTGGCTTATTTCACTTAGCATAATGTCCTCAAGGTTCGTCCATACTGTAGCATATGATAGGATTTCCTTCTTTTTTTAGGGCTGAATAATATTTCATTGTCTGTATATATCACACTTTCTTTTTTACATCTTTTTTGAAGATTTTATTTATTTTTAAATTATATTTTATTATGCTACTATAGTTGTCCTGATTTTCCCCCCTTTGCCCCACTCCAGCACCCCCTACCATTGTTCATGTCCATGTCCATGGTCATGCATATAAGTTCTTTGGCTGCTCCATTTCCTATACTGTACTTTGCATCTCCATGACTATTTTGTAACTACCTATATTTACTTCTTTTTTAAAAAGTGTATTTTATTGATTATGCTCTTACAGTTGTCCCAGTTTTTCCTTCTTTGCCTCCTTTTACCTGGAGCCCCACTTCCCTCCAGCAGTCCTCCCCCTTAGCTCACGTCCATGGGTCATGTGTGTAAGTTCTTTGGCTTCTCCGTTTCCTATGCTATTCTTGACCTCCCCTGTCTATT